GAACAGAAAGGACAAAAGGGCTTAAGAACAATGAGAACAAGAAGGAAAATAAGTAGAAGTTTGTCTTAATTTCGTCGCGTGCCGAGTTGGCGAAAAACCTAGAAAGAGGGCAAACAGTCTTGAAGGATGAGGGGTGAGTCGGATGATTAATTTCCCTGGGCGCGAGGGTGGGAACCTTGGGAGCGAGGGAAGAAGGGGGGAGAGGGTGAGCGGTTGGAACCGTATATTTTATGCACGCGTTTAATTCTCCACACGGCCCGGGCGAACTTAATTTCCACCGGATTCCATTATGCTTCTCGTTTATTAGGGACACCGGCGCCGTCTTATAGCAGAACGGCGTCCTTCGGGGGATACACTCCACTTCAGAATTTTTTACAATCGAACGGTTTTTCATTTCCCGACACAATTAAGGGTAATAGCGATTTTTCCGATGTTGTAGAAATGATCCATGTAATGAGGGTAGTTTTCGCGCAGGGACTCCCAATTAGGCCAGTCACCCTTGAGTCTCTTCTCAAATATTACTCAAAGTTTTCGTATACTCACACGTACATGTCGATTTATCTATGATTTCGTATAGACGAAGTTATCTAATTTCTGACATTAGTTTAATAATGGGAATTATGGTTGTAGGGGTCAAAAGATTTCTGCCAAAAGTTTAAGACATATAATGAAAATTTTGTCAATGTTTTTATGTAAGGGTTCGTACGACCTTAAATGAGTTCTTGATATACAGAGTGGAAGTAGTTGAGGTCGACGTAGAGTCAGACTAGATAGAATCAGGAGAATAGTCGTTGTTTCAGTCAGACATCATAAAGGGTCAACCCTAATCTAAATTTCTTTCAAATCTTATAATTTTCCATTTATTAAAATTAGTCGATATTGATATGATAAATGTTTTATTTTTCATGAAATTATAGTTACAATCTGGTTTAAACGAGAGTGTACCACAGCTGTGGTAATCTATCTTTCCGGCATTCCTTTCCGGTTTCTTTCCTCTCTGTTATTCATGCATTCATTGCAGTCCGGATGTTTTTCACCCCCCTCCTTTTGTTCCCGCGTGGAAATTTAAATAGGCGTTGATGAGATTTCCGGCCACCTTTGTCTTCTGCGGTTTCTAGAAATCTGCAAATTCGTTTACAATTCTGTAGCATTTTCGAAATGAACAAACTTAGCGAAAAACTGTATCAATGGTAAAAAAAAAAAGAAAAAAACGAACAAGTGGATTAATAGAAAAATAGTAGTCAATTTAGAAATTGTTAATAAAAACAGTTTCCCTGTACTTACAAGTTTGCACAAAGCCTGTTGAAATAATAAAACCACTCGTATAAATAAAAGCAGGATAAATCTTATAGATTGCA